TCTTTCTTTCTTTCTTTCTTTCTTTCTTTCTTTCTTTCTTTCTTTCTTTCTTTCTTTCTCTCTTTCTCTCTTTCTCTCTTTCTTTCTCTCTTTCTCTCTTTCTCTCTCTTTCCCCTCTCTGCCCCTCAAATTCAGGCTGTGCATGCAGTTATAGGGCTAATTCTAAAACTGTAGGATGCTTTGAGATGCCTTTAGATGCCTTGCTCTGGGCATTGAACACCCACCCCCCCATATCAAAATGCGAAAGGTTGGAAGTTGCAAGAACGCACTACCGAACACCTAAGCGAAGGTCCCAAGTGGCAAGCTGGCACCATCGCCTTTGGACAGGCTGCATTCGTTCCTTCTGTCATTCATGGGGTTTTTAGCTGAATTGGGGGGGGGGTCTCTTTCAATATTTTGCAAGCCACCTTCTGTTGGGAAAAGGGTGGGATGGAGAAAAAATGAATTCATAATCCCAAATGTGGACACGGTTCAAATGTGGCTCTGGCGATTTCTATACCTACTGCAAACACACCCCCTTTTAAAAAAATAAGCCCAGTGCATTCCGGTCCACAAGTCCAGAATTTAGGGAGGCAGATTTTGCTTCCATTTCCAGCCGCAACTTACGATAGGGTTCGTGTTTAATAGATCTTTCCTGGACCTCTGAATGGTCTTTCTTGGCTGCTAAATCAGGGACACAATTGCTTGTTTAACTGATTTAGCAGCAAAGTGGCATGCGGTGGGAGAGTCTTTGGAACCGGTGGTCTTCAACACCGTGCACTGGGAATCTTTTAATACATATTTGTATTCGTTCATATATTTTTTTCCCTTCTGTGGGAGAATGCCGATCTTTTACAGTGTGTCTTTGCAGTGGGATTTTTTTTAAAAAAAATTAACCTCACCCTAGTTGAGGATGTTTGAAGGAGAATGTCTGCAACAGGAGAGAGCAAGAGGGGGGGGCACTGGGAAGCCGGTTGCTATGGTTACTCATGCTGGTAGAATCACTGCCATTTTTCCCCTAGTATATCTGTTTTTTTTTCCCGGGCACCACCCATGCCTGGTAAGTGTGAGAGGGTGTGGTGAGCTTCCCAGTCTGTTGATAGACAAAATTCAAGTGTGTGTGTGTGTGTGTGTAAAGGCAAATCTACATTCACATGGCAAATTACGTTTTCTTGTACTGGGCAAAATCGGTCTGAATAACCTTGAAAAATCTGCATGGGTTTCTTCCTTGTCTTGGCCCCACGGAAGTCTGCTTTGTACAGGGCAAGAGGGACTCTATAGGAAGGGAAAGAATAAAATTGGATAGAAATTTGGGAGGTGCGGGGGGGGAGAGGCAGGACTCAGCTGTGCGTCGGATGGATGGATAGCAGGTTTTTTTAGCTGCCAGCTTAGTGTGGGTGGATTCCCCTGTTGCGCGTTGGTGGAGGAAGTGGAGAGGAAACCTGCAGCCTTCCGTACCTGCTCCTTTTTAAAACCATCTCTGCGCACTGGTGTGTAGGCAGGCGTCAAAGGCGCTAGGAATCCCTCTGGGGTTTTTCCTGCTTGCCTCCTCTTTTCATGTTGACTTCACTCCGCCCTGGCATATAGGGCTCTTAAAACACTTGTTGCCGGAGAGGAGGACTGGGGGCGATCTGTTTCGTTTTCCATGGGCTTCCTTTCACCCTCGTTTTGGTAAAAGCTTTGTTCTTGCACGAGGTCTTGGATGCGGGGGAGCATTCCAAAGACGGGGTGGTGTCGGAGACTGTCACCAGCAGCATGTGGCCGTGCATTGTGAAAGGGAAGGGTTTTCTCTTTTGTAACTGCTGAGTGAACCTTGCACAAAACCTATTATGTCTGAATCTCAGCAGGCACTGATGCAGTCTGTACCTGCGCCATGCAAACCGCCGAAAGCATATCTGATCTCCTGTGCTTTCGGAAGCTAAGCTGGGTCAAGCCTGGTTCGTGTCTGGAAGGGAGATCCGTACGGAATACCAAGGGTCTCCAGGTCAAACGGGGATACAGTCCCTCCTTGGGGACCTGCTGGAGAACCCAGTACTGTTGCTAGTCTAATGATCGACCCAACAGTCAGAGGCAGGATAGGACAGCCCCCTACCCTCCTAATATATGAAAACAGGGAGAGAATCCATGTCCCATACCAGGCACAGGTTTGGGCCATATTTCAGTAGCACAGTCCATGCTTTGTATAAGACATGTTCCAGGTTCACGTCTTTCGCATCAGTGTTTTGAGATCATTGGGTAAACAGGGCTTGGGGGGGGGGGAAGAGTGTTCAAAGCCTTAGACATCTACAGTATTACAACCCAGAATACTAAGCCATGCAACTCCAAGTCCACAGATACAGCTGTTGAGCTGCAACTCCCATCCTCCTCCCTCCAGCATAGCTCTTGTGAGAGGTTACAGTCCAACAGCATCTGGAACCCAAGATCAAAAACCACAGCTGCAGTGGGTATTGCTCTTCTGATTTTTCTTGCAACCCTCTACAGCAGTGGTCTCCAAACTTGGGCCTCCAGATGTTCTTAGACTACAGCTCCCAGAAGCCTTCACCACCACCTCTGCTGGCCAGGATTTCTGGGAAATGAAGTCCAAGAACATCTGGAAGCCCAAGGTTGGGGACCACTGCTCTACAGGCCTCCTATTCCTTTCTCCTTTCCCCTAGACCAGTGGTTTCCAAACTTGAGTCCCGAGATGTTCTTGAACTAAAGCTCCCAGAAGCCTTTACCACTAGCTGTGCTGGCCAGGATTGCTGGGGGTTGTAGTCCAAGACCGCCTAGGAACCCAAGGTTGGAAAACACTACCCCTGGATGGTGACTGAAATAATATCGGGCATTTCTGTGCAGAAGAGGAATCTTTGACTTTGCCACGGCTAATTGACAGTGTATCAACTGTGCCATTAAGGATGTGACTATCTTGCAGATTGTGTGTTGTCCATTAGCAGTGCCAGCACCCACAGTTTCTCTTGGGAGCACATAAATGTCCAATAGGAGTCTGGCCAGTGTTTTGCTTCTTTGGATAATGGTTCCATTGTCCAACTGAGAACTAAAGGGAGCTGAGACCGAAGGAAGTGAGGATAATCAAGGTGCTAGGACTGCTTAAGGCAGGCTTATATGCCTGTCTCAACTATACTTGCAACAAAGTCTGTGGGTTGTGTCATAGTCAAACCATTGTGTCTGAATCTTCACCTCGATCATCATCTCACCTTCTGGTTCAGCATATGGCCAACATGGAAGATCTGTCTGTATTTTCCTTGGCCTGGGATAAACACTTGGACAAGATGTTGGATGTTAGAAATAATCTCATCTTAAAAGCTGATGTGAGCATCTCTTTCATGTCTGAGAATCTTGTGAATTACATAATGAGGATCACCTGTCTTGGATGAAGAACCAAGTCCAGGGCTGATGATTTACTTGCCACCTGTTGAGTTCAAATACACCTTGGAAACTGAACCTGGGCTTCCAGCTGGTTTGCTAATTGATACAACACCACCCTTCAATTCTTACTTTGGATTATAGCGTTCTGGCGTTTATAGTGCTGAACTGAAACTTTATCTTTAGACCTGGGAGCAGGGGTAGGGGGTTACAGACCTGACTTATGCTGGTGGAGGCTTCCAGCTTTTTTTGAATTCTCTTGATCTCAGTGGGAGATGTCCGAGCTTGAGAAAACATAATCTCCCTAAAGGGCTTAAGTTGACTTTAGACTTTTGCTTGAGGTCCATTCTACAAAGGGTTTTGTAGAAAGTGATA